CTTCTCCCCCTTTCTCCTCTTCCTTCTCCTCCTTTCCCCTCTTCCTTTTCCTCCTTTCTCCTCTTCCTTCCCCCCCTTTCCCCTCTTCCTTCTCCCCCTTTCTCCTCTTCCTTCTCCTTTCTCCTCTTCCTTCTCCCCCTTTCTCCTCTTCCTTCTCCCCCTTTCCCCTCTTCCTTCTCCCCCTTTCTCCTCTTCCTTCTCCTCCTTTCCCCTCTTCCTTCTCCTCCTTTCCCCTCTTCCTTCTCCCCCTTTCTCCTCTTCCTTCTCCTTTCTCCTCTTCCTTCTCCTCTTTTCTCCTCTTTTTCATCATTGATCGTCATTATCACCATTAGTATCACCTTAAAGGTCAGTCTCACAAGTCCAAATGTCTAACAGACTTCTCTGCTACAACGTCCTTGAAAATGGCCAAAAACCATTCCTGAAATTATGGCGGGGTTGTCCTCGTTGTGGCTTCGTGAGTGTCTGACTGCCAGAGAGTGTAAGGTCAAGAGCTGCTCATGCAGGAAAGCCAGGCTTCATGGCCAAGGTGGAGCATGGCAGGACGGGCACCAGCCTGTAGAAGGACCCTGGCAGACAGGATTTTAATCCAGACTCTGATACACTCTAGACAGGTAACTGTGGGCCAGTCAGTAACCTCCTTGAGCCTGTTTCCTGCTCTGCTGTATGGGATAAGACACCTACCCCTATTTGCTGGGGTGTGGAAAGGACTCACAGCAAAAGTATATTTATACCTTAATTGAAAGGTATACCAGTTCTTTTTGCGAGTACTGTTAGCAACTATTTGAAACAATAGTACCAGCACTTTGTAACATGAGTGCCCACCAGCATGGTGCCTGGCACATGGTCAGGATTTTTAAAATACCATAGTTGTAAGAGAAAGTCATTCGTTAACATGAAAGACTCACTAGTGCTTTCTGAGATTTGGGATTACAGTATTTGATCCAATCTAAGATAATGATTGAAAAGCAAACCATCGTTTTACAGACCACTAGGAAAGAAAAAAGCAGCAACTAAAAACATCTGATTGAAACAAATCTGGGGCACCAAGGGGTTGCACCGTCTGTGCAAGGGGAAATAGGAATAAATCCACCTTACAGAAAAGGGAAGCAAGAAAACTCAAGGTCTTATCTTGGCGCTGAGTAAAGGAAGTGGAATAAAAACTCTTCCCTGAGAATTTGAACCACAGGCTGGAGCTCCCCAAGGTTGGCAGTCTGAGTTTACACAGTCAGTATGACTGGAAGAAAAACCCAGGAAAACACGACCAGCAAGCAGAGATTTTAATTTAAAGAAATCTCAGGTGGGTAGCGTCTGGGTGGTAGATGGAAATAAACCCAAATCCTCCCTGGAAGGACTAGATTGTAATAAGACACCCACATCCTAGAGATGTGAAAATGTGAAAAGTTATGAGTCTTAAAACCTATGAAATCGGATCAAGTAAATAAAAAGCTTTTCTTAGTCACTCAACATCTGAGTTTCCATCCTGAGAGCCCACAATATGCAATGTCTGCTCTCTGTTCCTGCAAACTGGCTTTGCCTCAGTTTACCAAGGAAACAGACGCACTTGCCAATCTAGTCCCCACTAAAAGGTCATCTCAAGTAGGGCTACACAACTTCCGGGAGCCAATGCAACTCAAAAGCAATTACATTTCACGTGTCTGAATGCTGCAGGCAAACACAGCCATGGCATGGAGTTGGCAAGTGCGTGGGCAGCTGCAAATTTAATAAATCTTAATTATTCTGTTTATACAAATAAACAAGCTGAAGCCATTGACGTAGTTGGAGCTTTCAGTGACTTGGGGCACAGAGAGAGAAAAAAGTGTGGAGAACCAACTGCTCATAAATAATTAGCTTTGGGGCAGGTTCCCCCCCCTTCCCTTTAGACTAAAAATAATATATGGAATGTTTTTAAGTTGGCAAGATGACAACCTCAGAAGACAGCACCTGTTTTCTACCTGTCAGGCCTGTGTGTGGATGTGCATACGTGTACGTGTACACATAGCCATACGTGTGTGCACACACGTGCACCCCAGCGCACGTGAACCCAAAAACTGCACAAAGACCAAAAAAAGGCAGGGGCCCCGTCAGAAGCGCCATTGCTCCCTTTGCTCTCAGAGCAACAAGAGGATGCAGAAGTCTCCCAGGTCCTCATTTATGTGGCACCTGGAGACCTACTATGTGCCGGTTGCTACAACAGAAACTTCGCTACCATTAGCTCAGTAGACCCTTGTATTTCTCATTGGAAGACCATGGTTAAGTGACTTGACAAAGGTCACACATACTGAGGGTAGAGCCTGGATTTCAATCCAGAGTGTAGAGCAGTGGTTCTCAAAAGGGTCCCCCAGCTACCAGCATCACCTGGGATCTTATTAGAAATGCAGATTTGTGGGCCACCCTTGCCCTAATCAATCAGAAACTCTGGGGATGTGGGGCCCAGTAATATATGCTTTAAAAAGCTGTCCTATAAATAAGCCAAAAATGGTCTCTGCATATCAGCCCCTAGGTTGCTCACTTCTTCACAATGGACTGAGAACTGTTAGCCCCAAATCCAGCCAAACCCCAAATTTCTACATATCCAGTTGTGTGCTACACATACTGAGGGTAAAGCCTAGATTTAAATCCAGAGTGTAGAGCAGTGGTTCTCAAAGTAGGGTCCCCAGGCCTATCCCAGGTAGGGTATCTAGTTCTGGATACCCTACCAAACCATACCCAATATCTGCTAGCCACAGATCAGATAACCCTCAGGGCTATAAGACCCCAAGCAGCTGCTTCCCTCAGAGCTCTCTGACCCTCTGGGCAACATCAGGGGGACACACAGGCTCTCTCCAGATTCCCCTCTCCCCACCCAACAAGATACACAGTCTACACAGGCACACCATTACTCTTTTGTTCACTGATGTATCCCAATGCCTTAAACAGAGTTTGGCACAAAGTCAGCACTCAGTAAATACTGGTGAAGGGAAGGGGGGAAGGATGGAAAGGAGAAATGCAGGAAGAAAGGACGGTGGGAAGGAGGGAGAGCAAGTGAACACAAAGGCTGTGAACACGCCACGTTAACTCACTCATTTCAGGCTGCAGGATGCCTAGCCTGCACCACAGAGCTGGTGTCAGTCAGCCAAGAGTCACCACTCAACAACATTTAGTGGCCAGGCACCAGGGGACCCAGACTTGACTGCAAAATGACCTCTGGCCTGGGGGCTGCATAGATGGGGGCTCCCAACCAGTGAGGGGCTTAAAGAGCATAAGCTAGAGGCCATCTGAACACCTGGTCCTGGGTCCCCCACCTCCCACCGGGAGCCACCAGGCAGGCTGTGTAGACCACCTGCCTTACTTGGTGACCTTCCAGGTGGAGGCTTATTATTATTCTAAGCAGGGGTGGGGTGGGGTGAGTAGGACTTAGGCCATCAGAAAGAATTCTATTTGCACACACAATTTACATGCTCTTCAAAATTAGTTCACAGAGTACATAAAGCTGACATTAATAGTCCCCTTTTATAGATGGGGAAAATGAGCCCTAAGAGGCAAACAACTTGCTTAAGGTCACAAAGCTGGTTGGCACCAGGCCTGGAACACTGCCTTGGTTGTTGCAACTGCCTTGTTCAGTCCATGGGTCACCCACTCCCCTGCAGATGCCAGAAAGGACACCAGCTGGAGACCAAGAAGAAATCTCGGTGTGCAGAGCACCAGAGAAACACAGATCCCGTGGATTGTAAGATCTCAAGGACCTCAGAGCTCCCTGGAGCAGAGCATGTTGGAGGCTCGTGTCATTATTGGCTAATACTTGGCAGGAAAACAAGAGTGTTCCCTTGGAAACAGTGACACTAGGAACATCAATTTACATTTGGCTTTTCCAGAAATGTGACAACGAGCCAGGCCCCAGAGAAGCTTTTTCCAAGGCACAATGTGAAAGGTTAAAACGTGAGCCACACAGTCAGAGGCCACTCAGCAGCTGCGTGCCTCCATTGAACACACCATTCCAACCTCAGCCTTTCTGTGCCCTCAGGCTTACAGCCGAGATGTCTATGGGAGAGTTAAATGAGATTCCTCAGGTCTTGGCACACACAGTGGATGGCAATACACAGTATCCAGAGTAACAATAATCACTACTCATTATTATTGCTCTTATTACTGTAGCTGTTGTGGTTGCTAAGGCCTGCACACAGTCTGGGCTCTGAGCACAGCTCCATGGGCTAAGCGGAAGCACCTGCCTGGTATAACACAAAAGGCACCACACTCCTCTCACCTTTGTTCCCTATCAAGCCCCATATACACACTGCAGTTTGCCTGGAATGGTCCAGGTTCCCTGGGACAGTCCTGGTTTATGCCTGTTGTCACAGTGTAATTACCAGCAGCATCCTTGTTCACTTCCTAGCACGTCCTGATTTAGAATGATAAAGTCCAAGGTCCCTTTCCATTATGTGCTTGGCACACTGAGGACTCTTCATACCCCTGCCTACCTCGCCCTGCATCTGGGGGCTTCCTAAGAGCAAGGACCTTGAAATTTTGCAGAGGACAGCCCAGAGCTGATGCCCCATAAACGTCCCTCAGTCTTCTTGAAACCATCCAGAAAGTCCACAAGTCCTGCCCTGGTGTCACAGCAGTGCCCACCAGCCCTCCAGGCACCCTGCCCTCCAGCCATGAGGAGCAGATGGCAGACACCATACCTTTTGGAATCCAGTCAGCTCCCCTGGAGAACTCTGTGCCTGTTATTTTAGGGAAGGGGAGGAAAAGGGGGAAAACATAAGTTAAGTGAGTGAAACTTAAATCCCAACAGAGCCTGTAATGGAATATTCATTTTGTCAGGGGAGTGTTTCTTTAAAACTTCTGGTCATCTGGATAGCCTGAGCCAGCAGGTGATTCGATTTAATGAGCTTTTTAACACACTTCAGGCCCAGCTGGGATCCTGTCTGGGAAGGCCTACGCCAAGGCTGGCTGGGGTGTCTGCCAACCTGGCTTGGCCTAGGCTGACACCTAGTGGCCATCACGGCCACATTGGGCCAAGAAAGCCTGGAGTGTCCCAGCTTGGGGTCTGGGCCCTGAGGTTTCAATGACCTCTGGGGTCCATCTCGCTACCTTCCTCTTTGGACTTAGGAATTTGTGACACTTAACCTCTGTGCCTCAGTTTCCTTATTGGTTCATAGGGAATAACAACAATACCTCCTTTATAGGGTTGTTAGGAGGACATAGCATCTAATAAAGGTCATTGTTACTAGTTTAGCTATAATTATTATTGTTGTTATTATTATTATTTTGTGCAAGGAGTCACAAGGGCCCCAAAAGGGAAGGTGTTTGCTCTGCTGAATCACAATACAAGCTCGTGAAGTAGAGCTGGACTCCAGGGCTCCCGATGCCCCATCCAGAGCCTCCCTACATCACCCCTACAGCACAGGGGTGTGTTAATGCTGCTCTGCCACTGACTGGCCATAAGACCCTGGGAAAATATTTTAGCTTCTTGGAGTCTCAGCTTCCCCTCTGGAGACTGGAGTGGAGACACAATTACTCTAGCAGAGGTTAGCAGTAAAAATTGAATGGTACAATGCACATAAAGCTCTAGGCTTGATAGACTACGGCTCCTCACACATTAACTGTGAGGATATTGCTGTGGTTACTGGGACTTCAGCCTCATGAGGTGGTTGGATGGCCAAATGCCATCACACAAGTCAAGTGTCAAAGACCCGGGAGTCTGCCTCTCCTTTCTCTGAGTCATCATCTCTGTCTGGTCTTTGGGTATCTAAAGCAGAGTGAATGTGGGCTGAGTTTTGTCTTTCCAGGAGAGCCTGGGCCCAACCATGCTCCTGTCCCTGGGACCTGAGACCTGTCATCCTTAGCACCTACCAGCAGGTGACCGGAGTCCTTTAGCTTGGACTTGTATAGCATCCACTGGTAGCGCAGGTCTTCCAGCTCATCCGAGGTCCCCCTTGCGGGCTCAAGACGAAGGAGGTTCTCAAAGAGATGCTGACCTTCTGGTACCCGAGCCTCCAGCTCCTGGGGGGAAATAACAGCACCATGGTGAAGCTTGCAAATAGCCCAGACAGTCCCTCATATCTGGTAGGGGCAGGTCAATCAGATTTCACTTGACAGAGAGGCACATCTAGAGGAGGCAGCCAGAAATGGCAAAATGCGACTGCCATCTGTGAAAATTCAAGCCCCCGGGTCCAGAAATTGCTGTCTGGAACATTATAGAATAGCCTCCTGTATACAAGGGACAGTTGGATTGCTGACCTTCATGGTTGCTTCCAACACTGACATTCTAGCACCAAGTTCTCCAGAGGGCTTGACATTAGAGCTAATATCGTTAGAAAAGCTATCATTGTTAAACACATCTTTCTACTGGCATTTTTGACCCTGATGGAATGGTATTGGAATGAGCAGATCTTTCTTCTAAAAGGTAGTACAATGTTCCCCTAGGATGGCACCTTTTCTTCTTAAGACTCCTTAAGAAGTATGTGATGGGGGTGTAGAAGCAGGGCTCTAAATCCAGAAGCCTACGTTTAAATCCTAGCTTTGGAGCCTGACTATGCCCCATCCTATTAGCTGTACAATATGGGACAGTTTGCTTAGCTTCTCTGAGCCCCTAGGATATAAACTGTATAAGAGAAAAGGGGTTTAACTTGGGAAACTGAAAGTCTTCTCTGATATGGTTAGAGTTGGACAGTAGTAGTGGTGGGAAATGAGAGGGGTAGCTATGCATGAGACAGGAGGAGTGGGCAGGAAGGGTCAATCAGATGATTAGGACTAAACCTCTTACTGAGGATAAAATATTAAAAACAATTTAAAGGCATTAAGGAGTTAATGAAAGAGTGAGGCACATCAGACCAAAAACGTATTTTGTCCTCTCTTCCTCTCCTTCTCTAAAATAACAGAGAAATCAGCATTGTTTAGGCTTGCTTTTGCCCTTAGACCATTTTCCAATTTGGAAAAAAATAGCTGTAAAACAAACCTGTGCTTTTGGCAGCCTCACTGGGTAAGAAGATGAAGGTCATAGTCTGAGTCCTACAGAAGTAAAGATTTCAAAAAACCATTCACCCTTTATCCGAGACTCCTAAAGCCTTCATGCTCAGAGTAAAGGTGAACCAGAAGTGAATCTGGACCTTACGTGGACCTGCAGCCTAGCTCCAAGTCATCTCACTGATTCAGGGAACCTCAAGCCTTGAACTTGAACTCAGGTGTCCCAGAATGACAAAGGCTGCACTTGCCCAGCCATAGCAAACAGAATTTTCTTTAGAGGAAGAGATTATCCTAAATCTCAAATTACTCTTACACATATTTTTTCAAATACAATGTCTAGCACATAATCAAAGCAGCTATACACAGACACAAGGAATCAAGAAAAACAGGTAGAAATGATACTTAATATAACAGATATTAGAATTATTAGGCATACTCTATCAAATCGCTATGTTACTTAGCTTGAAGAATTAAAAAACAAGCTTAAAAATTTCAGCAATTGTATGGAAGCTACGCCATGACACTCTAGCCTGGGGCAACAGAGACTCTGTTTCAAAAAAAAAAAGAAAAAGAAAAAGAAAAATGACAGAAAAGATTATTTTTAAAAACCATACACAAGTTCTAGAACTGATAAATACAATAACAAAAGTTAAAGGCTGGGTGCCTATAGCTCAGTGGTAAGAGGGCTGACACTATGCACCAGGGGTGGTAGGTTTGAACACCTGGCCCAAGCCTGCTTAACAAAAAAAAAAGATTAAGAATTTAACAGGTATATGTAATAGTGAATGAGACACAGCTAAAGAGAGAATTAAGAAACTGGAAGATGGACCAGAAAAAACTATCCAGAATGCAACATGAAGAAACAAAAGAGGCTCGGTGCCTGTGGCTCAAGTGGCTAAGGCGCCAGCCACATACACCTAAGGTGGTGGGTTCAAATCCAGCCCGGGCCTGCCAAACAACAATGATGGCAGCAACCAAAAAAAAACAAGGCGTTGTGGCGGGTGCCTGGGGTCCCAGCTACAGAAGGCGGAGGCAGGAGACTCGCTTGAGCCCAGGAGTTGGAGGTTGCTGTGAGCTGTGATGCCACGGTACTCTACCCAGGGGGACAGCTTGAGGCTCTGTCTCAAAAAAAAAAAAAAAAAAGAAGAAGAAGAGACAAAAGAAATGAAAAGTACATAAGATAGAACAAGAAACATCAGGTACATAGTGAGAAGGAGTAACATATGTTTAACATTTAACATCACAGAAGGAGAGGAGAAAGGGAACAAAACAGAGGCAATGTTTTATGAGATAATATTAAAGAATTTTCCAGAAAAACCCTAGACCACAGATTCAAAAGTTCAAGGGAATTCTAAGCAGGATAAATTAAAAAAAAAATCCAATTTTTTTTAAACATATCATAGTAAAAAAAGCAGAAAAATATGAAAAAAAGAGAGGTGGGCTAGGACTTGGTTGAGAAAGACTTATATGATAAACTAACGCAAAAGTGGGCCATGACTTCCCCATCCTCCTTCCCCTGGCCACATCCGTACTCTCTGCAATATGACTTCGCATTCCCTCCCATCAAGGGGTGGAGTCTATAACCCCTCCCCTTGAATCTGGGCTGGTTTTATGCTACTGAATGCATGGGAATTAATGCTGTCCCCTTTCCTAGCCTAGGTCTCAAAAGGTCTTGCCTCCTTCCAGCTGGTCTTCTAGACTCTGCCTCTGCTATGAGAAATCCAGGCTATCCCACAGGGTGATAAGAGATGTGTGGTCCATGTCATTCATTTTCATCTCCAATAGCCTGCCAGCCCCTAGAAGCACTGACAGCAGAGACATAAGGGAGCCCAGCCCAAACCAGAAACCCCATCCAGCTGAGCTCAGCCTAACTTGCCAAACTTCAGTAGCATGGGTTCAATACATATTGTTTTATACCATAAACTACTGGGGTTGTTTGTCACATAGAAATAGTTAACAGATATAGGTGTCAAGTGGTTAGTAATGATAGCTTCCAAGTAGGGAAATACAGAAGTAGGCTGAATAAATAGAAGACTGCCAGGAAAAGTTCTAAAATCATCGAACCTAAAATGCTTTAAAATCATTATTTACAGGGCAGCGCCTGTGGCTCAAAGGAGTAAGGCGCTGGCGCCATATGCCGGAGATGGCAGGTTCAAACCTAGCTCCTGCTAAAAACTGCAAAAAAAAAAAAAAATCATTATTTACAAACAAGGGAGAACAGATCATGAACTATGTCTGTGCTCCCTATCTTTCAGAAGGACTCCCTGGTGGCAGACACATGCAGGTGCAAACCCTATGTGCAAGGGGACCTTTCCTTGGGAACAAACCTGCAGTTTCATTTCTCTGGTCCTCAAGTCCTTGGCTGTGGCCATTCTCATTGCGATGATTCTAACCAGCTTGGAATTCTCCACATGCAGCCACTGCTCAAAATTCCTCAGAAGCTGGGCAAAGTCTTCGTGGCTACCTTCATCTTCCCTGGGCAGATCTGCCTATAGGAAGGCAGGTGGCCAAAGTTTCAGAGGTAGAAAAACCCACAAGCTATGTGTCTGAGGGATCCACCTGAGGTAGAGGGCAGGGACAAGGACAGGATGCCCAAAAGATGATGGGAGAGGCTGGGTGAGGAGGCACAGATCTCTATTTAAAGTAGCCACATTTAGGGACCAAGAACATGGCTCGCTTTCCACCCCCTGGTCCTCTGGTAGAAGTCTTACGGATGGCTGTACAATGGTTATCCTTCTACCCAGCTGCTCCCTCTGGGCTCCATGATCAGAGTGATCTGTTTAAAATGTAAGTCAGTTCAGCTAAGTCCTTGCTGAGACACTTTGGTAGCTTCTCGTACCTCCCTAGTATGGCCAGAGAGCCTCAGGTTCCAACTATGCCCCTGTATCATTGCTGCCTCCCCTGTTCTCTGAGCCCAAGTCCACAGAAATCTCCCAGCCCCTCAAGTTGGCACTAGCTCTCTCTTTGGGTGTGTGTGCATTCCCTGTCCTCTCTGCCTGTCCCCTCCCTCCCCAATTCTCCTTCACTCCCACTCAGTCTTGAGGATTCCACCAACATTTCACATCTTCCAGGAGGGTTTCCCTGCCCCAGAAGCAGGTCACAGACACTCCCTGCAGACTCTCTTAACATCTGGCCCATCTGCTGACTGTGCCAGGCTTTTTGTGAACACATATTTAACTGCCTGTGGATCTTACTCCTTTGTTCCTGGGCCCAGCAGTGTGAGTGTGTCCTGGGAGCTTGTTAGAAATGCAGAATTGAGTCTTTGGCCCCACCTGGACCTACTGATTCAGAACATGCATTTTAACACAAAGCCAGGTGCACATCACAGTCTGAAAAGTTCTGGGCTGAAACCTAAGTTCTCTGAGGGCAGGAGTGTTATTTGCAGCTGTATCCCAACTCTCAGCACAGTTCTTGGAACATAGTAACACTCAGTACATGTGTTTTGGATGAGTGCATGAAAGAATGAATGGGAGAGAGAATAATTTGACACATTGTTTTTGAAGAACAAGGAATAACTGTCTTTTTAACATGGCTCAGTTTTTAAAAGGCAGTAGGGGCAAGTGATAGGTGATAGAATATTGTTAGCGCTTTTTTTTTTTTTTTTTTACAAAATAAAGCTATGGCATAAAAATATACCCATATTGTGGTATTTCAGTTTCCAGTCTGGGGCCAGCAGGAAGTTGCCAATATATTTTAGTAGCGTTTAGCACCTGCGCAGTATGGCCAGAGAGCCTCAGGTTTGGCTGTGCCCCTGCATCACTGCTACCTTCCCTGTTCTCTGACCCCAAGTCTGCAGGCACATCCCAGTCCCTCAAGTTGGTGCCCTGGGGCCCTCCTCCCTGGAGTAGCTGCTGCTAGTGGGTCAGAGAGGTGGGTTCCTTTCTGGCAGAGGGATGTCCACATCCTCCCCCACTGGCCTGGCTCTGCTGAGTCTGGGACCTCTGAGACCCTCTGTGTAGTGGGGGGAGTTCTCCTTGGACAACAGCAGGGACAGGTCCTTACAGCTGAGCATGTGACCCTGGGCAGAGAGGGGGCCATGCTGGAGACTCCCCCACCCCCCTTGACCTGGGACTTGCTCCTTCTCCTGAAGGCCCACTGGACAGACTCACCCGGCGACGATGTCTGGGAATGGGATCTGTGGGCTCAATGAGAAACCCAGACTTTGGGATGTTGTTGGTGAAAACCATTTTCTTCCCCGAATCCACTTCCATCCTCGGCAGCTGCCAGTTTCTGATGAGGCTGAGAAGATAAACTCAGTCCCATCAGTGTGGTGATGTGATGGGGACTCACCAGGTAGAGGAGAACAGAATCGCAGCAGCAGAGTGGCAAGTCAGTGTCCCCTTTCATGTCCGTCAGAGTGTTCCCAAGGCACAGTCATGTCCAATTTCTGACTTTAAAGCCATGTTACTGTGTCCTGAAGGTGTATACACCCATTGATACAGACAGGGAAACTGGGGCTCAAGCCAGAATGAGGTGTAGGTGAACTCCCAAGCCAGGGACATTTCCTGGCTTTTTCTGCCCCTGCTAGAATCTCCAATTGGGCCAAAGTGTGGAGATGCTTTGAGCACCTGGCACCACACCGGGCTCACAGCAGAGCCCCTGCCATCTGCTCCACCAGCCCTTGGGCTCTCATGGGTGAGGAGAGACATTGCTCTAGACAATACTCAGAGCTGGGCAGGCACTCTCACCTCAGCAGGTTTTTTTTCCGCAGCCGCAAGGCCCGCCATGCCTCTGCCAGCTCCCTGAGCTCCTCCTGCACCACGGCAGCCCCCTCTGGGGAAGACTTCTCCATCACCAGCAGGCCATGAGCTTCAATTAGGGGCCGCTGGGCCTCCTTCTCTGGAAATTCTGCCACCAGCCTCTGAAGGACACGTGGACACACACACACAAGGTGAGGTCTCAGGCTGCGGGGGGTCTCTGCCGCCCGGTGTGGAAGCTTTGCCCTCTTGAGGATGCCTTTGGGGATGCAGGTGAGGAAAACCGCCTTACCTCCACCTCGTGCTCTCGAGACCCAACATCCTGGGGGCCAGTGTCTCCCTGATACGACTCCAGCTTCTGTGTGGTCACGGCAATCCACTGCCGCAGCTCCAGCAGCTGGTGGCTGAAGGTGCAGTGCTCCCGCACGCTCTGCTGACACCTGTCCACGAGGTCCTACAGCACAGCCCGAAGGGCCCAGGGAGCCCTGAGCACTGGCCAAAGAAGAGAGCCCAGGCACCGTCCCCACCCTGTAGGACTCCTGGACCTCCCTAGGTCCTCAGGGGTCCCCACCCAGCAGCAATGCAAGAGACAGGTCCTCCCTTCTGCAGGGCATAAGGAATCCATTCCTGGAAGATCAACTCTGGGTTAAAATGCCACTGAACTTTTCTTACTTTCATGGACACTACCAGGCCTAGGAAATCTGAGCTCTTGTCCACCACTGATGCTGGTGTAAATTGGCACAAGCACTTCAGGAAACTGTCAGTATCTATAACAGCTGAACATGGAGGTACCTCATGACATAGCCATTCATGCTGGGGTGTATACTCAATGCAAATGGGAACATATCCTCACCACTGGGCACCCTGTGATGTCACCTGCCATAGCCCCAAACTGGAAACTACGCACATGCCCATCCAGAGTAGAATGAATAATACACTGTGGTAGATTCACACAATGGAATATTCTAAAACAGTGACAATGAACAGTCTATAACCACAGGCAGTATTATGGATGGGTTTACTTACATACAAAAGAAAACATTCCATCTGATTCAATTTAAATAAAGAATACCATAAGGGATACTCTTGGTGTGATAAGCCTGGGGTCAGGGCGACCCTTGAGGGTCAGTGATAGTAGGCTGGAAAGTGCCTCAGGGGTGCCAGGACTCTGGGAGGCTGGCATTATTATGGGTTTTATCTGGGTGCTGGTAACACAGACACATTTAATTTTTTAAAAATTCACTGAGCTTCAGACTTATTCATTTTTGTGTATATAATGATGCTTCAATAAAAAATTTTCAAAATAGTCTTTCATTTTTTGCCCTTCTTTCCTGGGCCAATCTGTTGCTCAGCTCTCTGAGGTCGGGGTCTTGTTCTACTCTGTCTCTAGGAAGGGTGAGCACTGAACCCAGGAGATTAGCCTACCATTCTCCATTCTCCTTGCCACATACCCTGGTTCCCTGTGGGCCCTTCCTTTCTAGCCCACCCCCACCTAGTCAGGGGGTGGCCTATGGTCCCATTCCTGCTGTGCTCCCTGGACGAGGTCCTCATGACTCTGCTAAAATAGCCACTGTAGGCCCTGCCTTCCTGCATCCCTCAGTATTAACAAAAGCCACTGGGTGCCAGGCCCAGGCCAGGGGCTGGGGATGTTGCTGCATCTGGCCTCAATGGACTATGATGAGGGCCTAAAAAATTATCTCAAACTCCACTTCTCTGAGTTCTCACAACACTGTCACCCTCTGTCCCATGTTACCAGTATAAGACCAAACACCTTCAAAGACTCCCTACTACACAGAGCTGTGATCTCCAAAATGGGATACACATCCCCTAGGGGACGTGGAGATCACCTGATTATTGGAACTCATTAGATTTAAGTACCAGAAGGGCAATTTCTCTTTAAAGAATTGTATAGGCTGGGCATGGTAGCTAATGCCTAGCACTCTGGGAGGCCTAGGCGGATGGATGTTTGAACTCAGGAGTTCTAGACCAGCCTGAGCAAGAGATCCCATCTCTCAAATTAGCTAGGTGTTGGGGTGGGCACTTGTAATCCCAGCTACTCAGGAAGCTGAGGCAAGAGGATCACTTGAGCCCAAGAGTTTGAGGTTGTGAGCTATGATGCTATGGCACTCTATCCAGGACGACAAAGTGAGACTCTGCCTTAAAAAAAAAAAAAAATTAAAAAAATAAAGAAGTGTGTAAACTAAATAATTATGACAGAATGGGAACATCATTTTGCAACTCCCAATGATACTCAGTGAATGCTTCTTCTTACAATGGTTAATCTAGCTCATCATTTGTATGTAGGTATTAAAGCTGACTTTTGCTGCTTCTATGGGTTTCTATGGGTGCCCGAAGGATGGAGACAATGTTTCCTATTTCTCTACCACCCCCCCCCTCAACTTTGAGACCACTAGCTGCTGGTTTATAAAGTGGAATTAAATGCCGGACCTTAACTGTCACTTAGACCAACAGGTCTATATAGGTGGTGACCTGTTTCCTAGGAATCCATGGGGGGACCTTTTGATTGCTGCAGTAACAATGGGGTGGGGTGATGCTAGTAGCTACAGTGAGAGGGACGGGTGCCCCTAGCTGTCCTTGGGAGGATGCCTACCAACGCAGAATTGCCTTCTAGCCCATACGATTTTCTAACATCTTACCAATATCCATGGCAATAAAAAAATCCAAACTAGAATCAAAACCAAAACTAAAACAAAACAAAACAAAAAAACATGGCCTAAGCTTAGACTCTCACTCCAGTTAACACACAATACAAAGGGGATTTTGCAACTTTAACAAACATTCCTGACATCTCCAGGAATGTATAAATGAATGGAAGGCTGGTGTTTGCTTTGATCAAAGTTGTATCAAGTGTTGTTCACATTTCAGAAAAGCACATTGCCAGAGGCCCTGCTGGCAGTGCCACTTGACTGGGTATTCGTGGCTGTCAGGTAGAGGGAGTGTGTCTGGCCTCCCATGTCTTGAGAGCATGGCCACCTGAGAGTACCCACGTACTGAAGGACAGTAGTTCATTATAATTACTTTCTTTTATTTCCTGTGTGGGTAACTTAAATTATCTAAGAGTCTCAAGATTATAATGGGGATATTAGGAACATGTGTTATTAAGGTAGGACATGCAGGATCAGGATGGAGAACACTTTCCTGAACTGGGTTTTCCTGCACTGTGGTTGCCAGAGACCCAGCTTAACTCCCAGGAGCCTGCTGCAAAGTCAGACCTAGGACTCCATATGAATGAGTGTCAGAACTGAGCCTGGGTCTGTATTTCAACTAGTTCCATTCCCACTGCTGGGAGAATGGGTCCTGTGTGAATGCCGGAAAGGCCTCAGGTAGCCACTAGGGGGCAGTGCAGCCAAAGCACCATGGCCTCCAGGACTCAAGCATAGGAGGGCAGAGTGCTGGGGCCTCCTGTGTGCCAGGCTGCTGTGAGGAGCACATTGAACCATCCTATGTTTTCCTGTTTGCTGATTAATTGTCCATCCACCCACTAGAACCTAACACCAGCAGAGCAGAGGCCTTGGATGTCTTGCTCATTTGCCTCCTTCCTAGGGCCTAGAACACTGCCTGGCATACAGAAGGCGGCACCCAGTAAGTCTGTTGCATGAAAGAAGGGCAGGAGGCTCGGCGCCTGTGGCTCAAGAGGCTAAGGTGCCAGCCACATACACCTAAGGTGGCAGGTTCAAATCCAGCCCGGGCCCGCCAAACAATGACGGCTGCAACCAAAAAATAGCCTGGTATTGTGGCGGGTGCCTGTGGTCCCAGCAACTTGGGAGGCAGACGCAGGAGACTCGCTTGAGCCCAGGAGTTGGAGGTTGCTGTGAGCATGATGCCATGGCACTCTACCCAGGGGGATAGCTTGAG